TCCCTTCACCATTGTGGAATGCTGCTTGACACCATCCTGTTTCCCTTCCAGCTTATTTATAGCCTTCATTGACAAGGCCACTTTGTTTCTATAACTTTAAGAAATTTAAGACAAATATCTATTACAAAACTGTATTCAATATATTTGGTAACACTAATCATTAATATAATTGAAACATACTATCAGTATATTGTAGCTTTCGCTTATCTAATTTAAGGCTTGCCTTTTATAATGCCTTCTTTCTGGCCTTGTGCTCTGTTTAATCTGCATGTGTTAATTGCTTCCTTTCCTTCAGTGACCAAGCTCGTGGTCACCTCTACAGAGGTTCATTTTGAGGTTACTCAGAAACAGGCCTTGGAGGCCACCTGCTTTAGCCACACTTTGTAGCTTGCCAGAGGCCCCTTGAAAATGATCGGTGCTGGCAACACAGGGTTATACATTTTCACCTAACCATGCTCAGTCAACAAAAATAAATTACACGTGATTCAATTCTCCTCATCAAAAGACGAAACAAAAGTTATTGCAGCCCGTTACTACTAGTGTTGTTCTAAAAGCAATTACTTGCACCTACCCTGGCCCAATACTAGTGGCATGGACCAACAGATGTGACTCTACTTTCTCTTGCTACTGCTTATAGCTAAAATGCAAACTTAAACACATACTGTTGTAATTTAGGCTTATGCTAGGTGCAGAGCCGGCACTTGTCATCATGGTTTTGCAGTCATTGACTGCTTCTGAGGCCTACACCTAGGGAAATAGGATTAACTGCTGATGCTCCCTTCTGGAGTTGAATGCTCGCTCCCAAAGGCATAGCTCTTACTTTGAAGTACAGCGTGGTGAAGAAAATAATTCTATGATTCTAAAACAGCATCAAGGGACTTAAATATTACATTTGCTTAGCTCATATCGACTTAGCCACCTACCTACATTCAGCCTGGATTCTTCCTTGCCTACTAGAGGCATCTCTCTTCTCAGAAAGGAGATTTAAAATTAAGCTAGTTTCCAAAGAGAGTGAGGGATTGCAAGAGCTCAAGGTAACAACAGCTGTGCTGCAGACACTTTGCACCACACAGGGATCTCAGTACATGATTGAAGTACCTGCAAACTGGACCCAGGTTCCAGTTTAGCTGTACCAATGCAGGAGTACAAGGTAGGTGACTGAGCATCAGGGCTTGTATCCTAATACAACTACAGAAGCAGGAGGAGTTAAGACCAGGCAATCTCAAGCTCTAATCCTGCCTGTAAAACCCTACTCCTACAGAAAGGCGGCACTGAAGTCAATAAGGCTCCCTACACACGCATGGAAATAGTTGCTGGATTTGATCCTTATGGCTTGGATTTTTCAAAATGAGTGTAAAGGACTCAAGCACCCAACTGCCATTAAACTCCAATCACATCTGGGTGCCAAACTCACCTAGGCTCCTTTGAAAATTTCCATCTCAGATGCTACTTCCTGACATTTATGCTTAATGTTGTTTTGCCTTCAGCTCTTCTCACATGATAGGAAGGGTTTCTGGAGAACATATAAATTTTATTATTCCCATCATGGCATAGATGCCTTGAGTACAATTTTGATCATGGTAACTGACCTGGGGATAGTGAGAAGAGGGGCCGGGAGGCCCCACCCACGGGGCTCGACGTGGGAAGAAACACTAAAAAAAAGAAAGAAATACAAAACAATCACTTACCTGCAGGACGAGTGACGCCAGAAGATCAAAGAGAAAAGCCCGTGTGGTTTACAAGCTGTGCCTTTATGTAATTAAGGCCGACGAGTAACGTCACAAGGACGTTCCAGCCAGCAGAGATAAAAATGGCTGCCAGCAGTAGGGAGGGGAGGGCCAGTGAGGAGACTGAGGCTCTCTGTGCCGGCAGCAGGCGGAACCGGCACGAACCGGGAACACCCAGACGGCAGGCAGCTGTGGAAGCAGCAAGAGCTCCTCACACCAGGGGCACCGAGATTGAACCCCAGGAGAGCTGGAACACTGGGGATGACTTCCCCCTAGTGCCGTGAAGAAGGTCCATCGGGGGAGACGCTGAGCGGCGGCGTACCCAGGACAAACTCAAAGAAGAGGCTGAAACCAACCTTGGGGAAGCAGAGGTATTCCCACTCGACTGCTCCCAGGTACCAGGTCGGGGAGCTGGGCTAAGGGCAGAGTGGAGAGAGGCAGCCCACAGGACCAGCATCGGGGGAGTACTGCCAAGTTCAGGCAGAAGGGCTGGGAAAGCCGACCGGTAGGACAGCAGACAGGAAGACCCTTTTTTGGTTCCTTTTTTGTTTTTTTTCTTTGTTTTATTTCTTTACCCCTACTCGACAGGGGCACCCTTGTTGACCAAAAGAAGAGAGCTGACCGGCTCAAGGGGATCTCAGACCTAGAGCCCAGGCCAGCTAATTATTCTTCCCCAAGGAGGAAGGGGGATACAATAGGGCACGAGGAACATCTACACTGGAGAGGCAGCCGTATCAAGATCTGGCACCCCACCAGAGGTTGGCATAAGGCTGGGGTGTAGGGGAGGTGGAGCCCCATGAACATCCCGCAAGCGGAGTAGTCATCCCTGAGGGGAACTTTGAGGCCAAGCCCCACACTGACAGAACACCCAAAGACATGGCAGGTGAATTTGGGGAAGGCCAGAGGGACAACCAAAGCCTACCTCAGGGAACCCATGAAGCCAGAGAGCGTACACCCTTTACTGTCTGGGCCAAGGTGGCATTTGAGCAGGCGTTCAAAGCCAGGCGAGCGCAGTAACAAAGATGCGAGTCAAGAGTAATTCCACTGATGAAAGGGGTGAAATGCTGTCCCCACTGAACTCAATGTCAAAGCTCCCATTGACGTTAGTCAAGGCCAGACTTCACTTAATAGATTTACACTGGAACAAAGCCAGTGAGTAGAAATTATTTTGGGATATCAAGAAATGACTGTTTTGTCATTGATGAAATACAAACAGTTTCTATTTTTTGAACCCCAAGGTTTCTTATTCTCATTAACACAGGCAAATAACGTGAATCTGTTTGTCCTTTTGGGTTTACTATCTGGGGTTAAATTCTCTGCCAACATGGATTTTCAGTCCTCTTCAATAGATATTTGTTTCGCCTTTCTTTAAAGAAAGAAAAGACAAGACAAGACAAGGAGCAACAAGCAATGATGGTGAGAGATTAAGAATGGCAGCAGAACAGAGCATTGGAATGAATACAGAAGCTACTTTATTCATACAAAGTACCCAATCAGAAATAATGGTCTCAGATGGACACTTTGTGAACATTCGGCTACTAGCGGTGTTTGTAAACCACTGAATAAGTTTGTCAGTTTTCTAAGTTATTTTCAGAGAGCAGTGTACTTCTCCATCTATTCGGCTGCGTTTTTGAATGACACCCAAATACACTGTGTTTGAAATGAATGCTCTTTGTATCACCAGTACTGCTTGAACTCAGTTATCTGACATAAGTCATTCAGTAGCGGGATACACTAAAAGTATCTATAAACCTTCCTACTCTTCAAGATGGAGGTTCCACTAAAGCAGGCAAATGCTTAATGTTTAACTCCTGGGTAAAACAGTGAACTAAATCAAATACAGACCTGGCATAGTGGGGTGCATGTCTAAATGGGCTACATCAACAATAATAAGTATATCAAGGCAGAAGTGCAAGAGACCAAGCAAGCATGATGAGATAGAGAAAAAAAATATTGTCACATAAGAGCCAGGCCTTATTGACATTGACTTCAATAAGACTACAATTTCACCCAAATAATGAAGCTAGACCTTGGAAAATGATGGCTATTGGCATCCCAATCAAGTCTTTATCCTTCACTTGGCAGAACTATGTTTTTTAATGGTGACTTTATTCCTCTCTGACATTTTAAACATGGTCTGCGGGAAATAACGTTCAGTGATGCACTAATAAATAAAGCCCGGACACATTCAATAGGGAAAAAAATCCAGTGCGATATGCTAATAGTCAAGACTTGGTTTGTTCCCAATGCACATATACATCTTCTTCCACAAAACCATACTGAGCCTAGAGTTTAGTAAAGGCTATTTACATACAAATCACCTTGTAAATCAGAAGTAAAATGGCATGGTTGCTATGAACAACACAGCTACACATTTAGTCATGACAGGCAAACATTTTAGGTTGTCCTTATTAATGAATTTTCTGCAAACGAGATAATACAAGTGTTATCTTTCTCCTCACCTTTCTATGATGCATCAAAATCAAGCAGTGATAGTTTGTATATATCTGTGTACAAACACATACCGCCCCCACCCCCATCAGAGTAGATAAAAAATGGGATTGATCAAGGGGAATTTAACAATGACACAAGTATAGAAATGTGCACCTCAAGGATGTGCAAATTGTCCATGTGATACCTTATTTAACAGGTTTTCAAAGTAAAATGTGTTATGCTGGCCACTTGATTTGGCCTCAAATCATACTTGTTTCATACTCAGATCTTCAGCTGCATTTGCTTCTGGGACAGAAGAGAGAAAACTATTTAAGAGCACACATATCATTGTTCTGTATTAACCAACCTGTTTTTCTCCTCGTTTGTTCTATTTGAATGCTCTTCTCACATTAACATTTGCTCTGGCCCCCTACTAGTCCACAGCTACACCATACACAATGCCAGACATTTCAATTTTATTCTAACATCGATCACATCTACAAAGAGGTGGTTGTGCTGCTCTGAAACAAAATAATCCCACAACAAACTGCAGTTCCTGGTTACAAATTCAGCCTTGCAAGATTAGTCAATAAAGGCAGCACATAGAGGCGGGCAGCTAGGTTCAGGGTACCCAACACTTCCCAGAAGACCCGTATTTTCAGCTGCTTATAACTTTCCCAAAACATAAGTCATTCATAATGGAATTTTCTGTAATTTTTATTATTTCAGTAAAAATCATACAAGTATTTCTCAGAACAAGATGGAAAGAAAAGAAAAATGTAGGGTTTTAAAAAAAAAAAAAAAAAAAAAAAAAAAAAAGGGAAAAAACACTATACCCACTATGAGTCTTAAGGACCTCCATCCTTTGAAAGTAGGAATTCGCAATTTGCCTGGGAGCTGCGTCAGGGATGCGCCTTTTGTTATTCTTCTGAAACACAGGCAAAGAACAAACGTCTGAACATCTTCCCGTAATACATGTTCAAGAAAGACGCAGCTCTGAAGATGCTGTCTGGGTTGGAGATGCTCCATCCCAGAGTTGCAAAGTTTGACCAGGTCTTACCTTGCACTTGTTTCTCTTGCCAGCCAACAGTTATGGCACCAGGCACATGGACTGGGAACAGGAAACCAGCCTCTCCTTATCTCTGAGGACTTCTGCATCTGAGGAAGGGAGGGAGGAAAAAAAAAAAAAGGAATCAAGGGAGACTGACACAAGGGTCAGGTTTGAAGCAATGGTATGAAAAGAAGGAACTGGGATGTGAAGTTCATAGACAGCAAGCTTGAATACCACCCCGAAGGACTGAATTCTCATCTCTTCTTGTCCTCCAGAGATCCAGTGCGAAGCCAGACATCTCATGTGAACCAAGCATTATATGGACGCCACTCATTGCCATGTTCTGAGTGCCCAAGAAGCAACGATCATGACCAAATTTGGTCAGTTCTTCTGGGTGGTATTCAATTGGCCAAAATAATAGGCGCAGTGGTCTTAACAAATAAAGTGCTATTGAACTCAAAGTATTCCTGTGGCAGGCAGGATTTGAGCCACAGGCGTCTCAAGCTGGACATTCAAATATCAGCAGATATTTGAAACGAACGGCTCTGTGGTTCAGTTCCATATCTACACTGTGGAGATGGTAATAGCTCCTCATCTTGGAGGCTTTTTGAAGATAAATTCATTAATGCCTGTAAAGTATTCCTATGCTATAGAAATGAACGCCACACAAAAATAAAACAACCTGTTGAGCAAATTAATAATTCTGTATTCAAAGCAGGCACTGAGCATGTGTAATACATAAGGCATGGGGCTACACACTGAATGAGGGCAAAGCAGAATACTGAAGAGCTACTTGCACAAAGAGCATAAGCCATATTGTGCGCTGAATCAGACTGGGGCTGTTAATTCTGCCATCTCCTAACATTTGAGTGCTTCACTGTGGAACCTTAATTATGACCTTTAAAAGCAGGGGATGGGGCTTGTGTGACAGCTCTACATGGTATGTACAGACATGCAGTGAACAATCTCACTAGCGACTGCTCCCCTCATTGCTTTGGCTGCTGCGGGGTCTCCAGGCTTCTCCTCCCTCCCACAGCTTTCACTTCCTGCCCCTACCCCTGGCCATGGCTTGATGCACTGGGGGAGCCTGCAGCCAAGGAGGTGGTGAGAGGGGGCACCCACTCATGTGATACTGCAGTTGGGCAGGGCAGCCACCCACCCAGGCAGTAGGGGAAGACCTCCATGCACCATGCAGTGGTGGGGGGGAGCTGTACACCTCCATGGTGCCAAGGGACCTGCTGGTGCAGCCCCTGGCTGCTACGAAGTTAGACAGCCCTGCCCTGGGTGATAAGGAACATAAACTGCATACAGCAATGTAAAAACCTACTTCTTAGTGGGGAAAAAAAAGCATAAGAACCTACACCAAGCTGGATGTATTCCCTTTTCTTGAGTATAGTTTGTATTTTAAGTAGCATATAAACCTCACCTGGGCCAGAGAACTGGAGAGATCAGTGATCTAATGACTGATTTTTACTTTGAACACATATACCATTCAAACTTGAATGGCAAGGATTTCTATGGGCGATACTTTTTACTGGAGCAACTGTATGGTTGGCACGGACTTTTGAAAGCTCGTCTGAGTCTAACCCAACCACTCGGTTGGTCCAATGAAAGATACCAGCCACAGAAATCCTTGCTTCTCGCGTATTTCCTAGATCGACATTCACTTCAACACTATTAAAGCTTGAACTATGCTTAAAAGTTGGCCCATTTTAAATTCTACTCACAATTTCACCCTTTCCCCCCCAAAAACTCCCTCCTCCATGGAGCAAAACTCCCTGCAAACACACACAACAGCCCTTTTGGAACTTTAAAAAAAAAATCTCTTCCCAGAAAAGCCTCGAGAAAAAAAAAGTTTATGTTTTAACAAATTAAGCAAACATATATTTAATATTTTAATTACATTTTAAATACCATACTGAAACATAAAGCCCATTTAAATATATGCTTAGACACAGGCTGTAGAAACCTAATGATTTTTTTCACTATTTAAAGTTTCTGCATCATTTCCTTTTTCTGTAATTAAGCAGAAACAAGATAGGTCATTTTAATTCTCATTCTCTCTCTGTCTCTCTGTCTCCTCCAAATTCCAACTCTAGTTAAGATTCAGTAAGCATTTCTAGTCTAATCCCCAATAATTGGGTTCATGAGTTGTCTGGTTTAAAAATCACACTATGGTGGAACTTGGTGCATCAGTTTTGATAAATTAGTTACCCTAATTCTCCTTTATAATCGCAATGGTTTCAGTACATATTTGTCTGTTAATTCGAACATCTGTAGTGAAAAAAGGAGCTAAATAATTCAGAGGCTTTCTTTAATTACTTCTTTTTAAGCAGTCAATGGACATTGATTAGAAAAAGTGTGACCTAACATTACACACCTCTACTTTGTGTTATTTCAATCTGCCAAGCCAACCACAACCTGGCTTGTCTATTTCTTATACTTGCTGCCCCTTCCTGACCCTTCAACATGTCTGCAGTCGAGTACTAAACGAACCTGGTAGAGGTTCATGTGCACTACTATAATACAAACAAGCATCTGTTGCCCTCTGATATTTTTCAGCACACGAACCATTGTGGTATTTTGGAACAAGAAAAATGGAAGTGATCCCTTTTAAAAAAAATCTTTTTTGTACATTCTATTATGCATTTGTCAGTATTTGTTTCTTGCCTCTCCAGGTTTATGGTGACTTCAGCAGGTCAAGACAATCAGTAATAAAGGTAAATTGTAGGCTACTTAAACCAGCAAGAGTCTCCTCAGCACTACCGGAAGCATTTCTTGAAAGACATGCACACAAGTCAGACCATGATTACTGTAGAGCTATGAAGCACAACTGAAAGGCAATGGTTGGGTCACAGAATCATAGAAAGTGAGGGCTGGAAGGGACCTCAGGAGGTCACATCTAATCCAACACCCTGCTCAAAACAGGACCAGCCCCAACTACATCATCCCAGCCAAAGCTTTGTCTCCCCAGGTTTTGAAAACCTCCAAGGATGGAGCTTCCACCGCCTCTCTGGGTAACCTGTTCCAGTGTTTTACTACCCTCCTAGTGAGAAAATTCTTCCTAATATCTAACCTCAACTTCCCTTCCTGCAACTTGAGCCCATTGTTCCTTGATCTGTCATCTGCTCCCACTGAGAACAGTCCAGCTCCATCCTCTTTTGAACGCCCCTTCAGGTAGTTGAAAGCTGCTATTAAAAAGCCCCTTAGTCTTCTCTTCTCTAAATAAGGTCAGTTCCCTCAGTCATTCCTCTTAAGTCATGTTCCCCAACCCCCTCACCATTTCTGTTGCCCTCTGCTGGACTCTCTCCCATTTGTCCACGTCCCTTCTGTAGTGGGGGGTCCAAAACTGAACACAGCACTCCAGATGTGGGCTTACCCATGCTGAAAGGAGGAGAATTACTTCCCTTTATCTGCTGGCAACGCTCCTACCAATGCAGCCCAGGATGCCATTAGCCTTCTTGGCAACAAAGGCACACTGCTGGCTCCTGTTCAGCTTATTGTCCACTGTCACCCCCCGGTCCTTTTCTGCAGAGCTGCTGCCCAGCCAGTCAGCCCCAGCCTGTACCGGTGCATGGGATTGCTCTATCCTAAGTGCAGGACTTTGCACTTGTCCTTGTTGAACCTCATCAGATTTCTTTTAGCCCAATCCTCCAATTTGCCTAGGTCACTCTGAATACTAGCCCTACCCTCCAGTGTATCTATTATTCCCCCCAGCTTCGTGTCATCTGCAAACTGAGGATGCACTCTATGCCATCTTCCAGGTGGTTGATGAAGACATTAAACAAAACCAGCCCCAGGACCGACCCCTGGGACACTTCACTTGATACCAGCTGCCAACTAGACATCGAGCCATTGATTACTACTCTCTGACCCCGATGCGCCAGGCAGTTTTCTATCCACCTTACAGTCTATCCATTCAGCCCATACTTCCTTAGCTTGCCTGTGATGATGCTGTGGGAGACCATATCTACAGCCGATCTAAAATCAAGATACACCACATCAACTGGTCTCCCTACATCCACAGAGCCAGTCATCTCATCATAGAAGGCACTCAGGTTGGCCGGGCATGCCTTGCCCCTGGTGAATGCATGCTGTTTGTTCCTAATCATCTTCTTCTCCTCCAAGTGCTTAGAAATGGATTCCTTGAGGATCTGCTCCATGATTTTTCCAGGGACTGAGGTGAGGCTGACTGGTATGTAGTTCTCTGGATCCTCCTTTCTCCCCTTTCTTAAATATGGGTACTATGTTTGCCCTTTTCCAATCGTCTGGGACCTCTCCCGATTGCCATGAGTTTTCAAAGATGATGGCCAATGGCTCTGCAATCACATCAGCCAACTCCCTCAGCACCTGCGGGTGCATCCCATCCGGCCCCATGGATTTGTACATGTCCAGCTTTTCTAAGTTTACCCTAACCTCTTCTTTCACCACTGGGAGCTGCTCAGCTCCTCCCCAGACTGTGCTGCCTAGTGCAGTAGTCTGGGAGCTGACCTTGCCTGTGAAGACTGAGGCAAAAAAATGCATTGAGCACTTCAGCCTTTTCTGCATCCTCTGTCACCAGGGTGCCTCCCCCATTCAGTAAGAGACCCACTCT